TTCTCTCCCCACTGTCCTGCTTGCCCCCAACTGCCCCCCTGCTGGCCGTCTCACTCCAAACTGCCCCCCCCATCCTGATCACCTCCAACTGACCCCCACTGATGGCCTGCTTGCCCCCAACTGGCTCCCCTGCTTGTCTGCTACCCCCCAAAGGCCCTGCCCCTCAGCAGCCTGATCACCCACAACTGCCCTCCCCTCTTGGCCTCTAACCGCCTCTACCTCGGCCCCGCCACCATGGCTTTGTCCAGAAGAATGTCCGGAAGGTCTCCTGGAAGGTCTCCGAGTCTAATTAGCATATTACCCTTTTATTAGTATAGATAGAGGCCTGGTGCACGGGTGGGGGCCGCCTGGTTTTCCCTGAAGGTGTCCTGGATCAGGGTGGGGGTTCCCTTGGGCATGGGGCGGCCTGGGCAGGGGGCCTGTGGTGGTTTGCAGGCTGGCCACACCCCCATGGGGTGAGGGTCCCGGCTGGGGTTGTGTGGCCAGCCTGGGTGAGGGGCTGAGGGCCACACCCCCTTCAAGGTGGGGGTCCCCGCTGGGGTGCCTAGCCAGCCTGGGTGAGGGGATGAGGGCTGTTTGCTGGCTGGCCACGGCCCGGGGCAACCCAGGCTCCTAGACCCTCCTTGAGCAGAGGCCACAGTGGCTGTAAGCAGGTATCTGTGATTTATTTATCTTCTGTAATTGAAACTTTGTAGCCTTGAGCAGAGCCCACAGCTGGCCAGGGCATGCCAGAAGCTTGGCTTCCTCCATCACCAGGGACAACCCAAGCCTCCTGTTTGCTCCAGCTCTGTGGCCACCGCCATCTTGGTTGGGTTTATTTGCATACTCGCTCCTGATTGGCTGGTGGGCGTGGATTGTGTGGTGGCTTGTGAGTGTAGGGGAGGTACAGTCAGTCAATTTGCAGTTTCTCTTTTATTAGATAAGAAGATAGTTTGGGAAATGGTGCAAATCCGGCTGTGTCAGGGCTCCTCCTAGTGAAACTCCAGTTTCTTTCAAGGCCATTTGGTCCAGCCACCTGGCAACACTTTTTCTGCCCCGCCCACCACCCTCAATACAGGCCAACGCCCTGTGAACTTCGGACATTCTAGAATTGTTTCAGTTTCCCTTTCCTTCTCCTTTCGATTCTGCAGCCTTAGAAAGAAATACTCCCCTTCGATTCTCACTAGACCGTCGGGCTCCGCCCCCAAACAGAGCATTGGTGTTGGCATCAGCGCTGGGGCTGTTGAGCAGTCCACTCGCCAGCTGCGCTAGGAGGTCGCGCTCAGGCTTCCGGGGTTTCCTCTGACCTCTCCGCAGGCCAGACTTCCTTCTCCTCCCAAGGTCCGCGCAGCGGGGGCGCGGCTGTGGAGCCCTGCAGAGCGGGGATGGAGCCGAGGCCACCGAGGAGGTCACGGGGCGGCATGCGCCCAGCGTCCCGGCCGCCCGCAAAGTGCCGGCCGCCCGCCGAG